AGTAACTAAACTAATGTTTTAGTAATTACATTAATTTTTTAAAGTTGGAAGCCATAGTATTGTCACATCAAATATGACTGAATTTTTATACCTTATAATTATTGCTAAAATGCTGAGCAGTCTGCTTTAAGTAGAATTTTTTGTTGAAAAAATAATTACTGTATAAGTTAAAATGTATAGTAGGTAACACATTCCATTTTTAAATGGATAGTTGGTATTTTGTTAGTCTGTTCACTTGTAGACACTTAATGCAGTCTTGTTTTTTTGTTGCAAAGAAGGGTTAGAGTGAGAGCCAACTATTAGTGAATAGATACTTAAAATTGCATAGAGCAGGTAAGAATCTGATTCAGTTACCTTCCAACTGGGTGGCCTTGGACAGTTTTCCAGGCCTCTTTGAGCCTGGGGATTTGTTTCATTGTGTATGTGTGCTGCCTGTAAAATAAGAATAGTAATGGTGCCCTGACCAGTGTGGCTCAGTTGGTTGGACATTGTCCTGCAAAGCGACAAAGAGTCACCAGTTTGATTCCTGGTCGGGCACATGCCTGGCTTGTAGGTTCAGTCCCTATGGGGTCAGGGCCCGTGTGAGAGGCTATCAATCGAAGTTTGTCTCTCACATCAATGTTTCTCTTCCTCTCTTTCTCCCTCCCTTCCTGTCTATCTAAACATAGATAAAAATAAAATCTTTAAAAAAAGGAATAGTAATGGTATCTATTTTATAAAGGTGTTATAAGGATTAGACTGTTTATGTGAAATACTTATAATAGTGTCTGGCACGTAACTATCAGTGAATAAGTGTAAGTTGTTCATGCTACAGTGAGAGTATTACTGTTGTTAGGGTACACTTAAAGCAAGGCTCCTGAGTCAGTGATTTCCTGACCTCAACCACAAAATCCTTAGGAACTTTTCACAAACCTCCATGTGAGTGATTAAACCATGTCAGCAAACTAACTTTTGCTTATCTTTGTGTTGGTTTTGGCAAGGTCAGGGACCTCACGTTAGAAGACCATCTGTGTGGAAGGGATATAGCTTTTGCTAATAACTGCTGGCATCCCCTTTGATTTTGGAAAATATGTCCAGGATACCCACAATTTGCCACGTTTAGCTAAAATATGACATGCAGTCAGCAAAAGATTGTTTCTTCGTAGCATCCTAAGATTCCCCCCCCCAGGATGTGGAAGACCTCAGGGGTGACTGCATGGCATGGCAATAATAGGCAGTATGACCTCTTGGTTAGTGAATTCTGACTCATAAAGGAGACATTATTGTACTCCAGCGCAAATTCTGCAGGATCGTTCTCTTTAAAGATATTTGTCAGAACTAGAATCAAAACACATAAAAGTGTATGAATCAAAAAGATACATTGGTACTATTAGGATAAAACTGGGAGCTTGGAAAGAACAGACTACTACCAAGAACATGGATGTATCTCAGAATGCATTTTGATAAATGAAAAGCGAGACTCAAAAGGCACATGCTGTGCAGTTCCATTCACACAGCCTTCTGGCCCAGGACAGAGCAGTAACATCCCGGGGCTGGTCCGCCGAGAGGGTGGCACGGACTCCCGGGAGCCCTGGGAGGAGCTGGGTGGGAGTGCGCTGTATCCGGATGTGGTGGTGGTGACATGATTGTGAGCATTTGGCAAAGCTAAAACTTTACACCAAAAGGGCAAATTTTTCTATTATTTGTACATTTCATCTCAATAAATCTGGCTTTAAAACACAAAATGAACATAAATAACATAACATCGATTAGGTCAGTATTTCCTGTGAGTATGTAGAATAACATATGACTTCATCTTCCCCTGAAATGTTGATAGATTTCTTATGTATTTGTGTATACTGTGTATTTGTGTTCACTTATTAACAGTTTCAGTCCCATTTTTAGTTCATTAAGTATTTTACATTCTAGAGAGAAGTAAATAATATAAGTAGTAATTGTTTAAAAATTACTTGAAAGTTTTTTAAATTTCATGGAATACATATGCTACTTCTGTTTCATAGTATTTATTTTCTGTATTAATCTGGATGCTACAGATAACATCAGTAACACTTGACCTGGCTTAAACAATATGACTTTTTTGGCTGCATCTCTGTGGTTATGGAACTGCCGCTCATAGCACTGAAGCCAGCATAGGTTCCCTCATTTACATGGAGCAGCAGAGAGAGAGCTCTTTTTCTGTGGTTCTTCCTTTAAAAACAAGGAGCCTCTTTTCCTTTCCTTTCCTTTCCTTTCCTTTCCTTTCCTTTCCTTTCCTTTCCTTTCCTTTCCTTTCCTTTCCTTTCCTTTCCTTTCCTTTCCTTTCCTTCTTTTCTCCTTCCTTCCTTCCTTCCTTCCATAAAAAAGATTTATTTATTTATTTATTTATTTATTTATAGACAGAGAAGAAGGGAGGAAGAAAGAAAGGGAGAGAAACATCAACCTGTGATTGCCTCTTGCATACCCCTACTGGGGACCTGGCCTGCAACCCATGCATATGCCCTGACTGGGAATCAAACCAGTGATGCTTTGGTTCACAGGCTGGCACTCAATCCACTGAGCTACACCAGCCAGGGCAAACCTCTGTTTCCAAAGCTGCCAGAGCATACTTCCTCATGTCTCCTTGGCTCCTGAACTAATCCGTCTGTACCCATCATTGTTACACAATTTAGGGTCTCCCTTTTGGTCTGAGAATGAGGTTAGTTTCCCTAAAGGAAAGGCTACATAGTAGTGGGATAATACACTACCCAAATCTGGAAACTATTAAGAAATGGGGGGAGCCATGGCTGGGTGGCTCAGTTGGTTAGAGTGTCATCCTATACACCAAAAGGTCACAGGATTGGTTCCCAGTTAGGACACATATCTAGTTTGCAGTTTTGATCCTTGGTTGGGGCACATAAGAGCGACAACCACAACCCATTGATATTTCTCTCTTTCTCTCTCTCCCTTCCTCATTCTCCAAAATTGATAAACATATCCTCAGGTGGGGATTTTTTTAAAAAATATCTTCAATAAAAAAATGGGAGGGGGGAAGGATGCCAGGCAGGTAACACTACTAGTGCTTTACCCTGAATTCATTAAGTTAAACTAAAACCTTGGCTAATTGGGGAATTTGCTGACTACATAGTTGTTATGTTAGTATTTCTGAGACCACAAATTATTTAAACAGTATTGTTACTTTACCTACTCATCTCTGCTGGAAGAAGCAACTTGGTTATTTTCCACAGTAGCATGGATGCTGCATGTAAAGCATACAGTGGCTGTCATATATGTTGAGTACAATGAAACATTCTTTTTTATAGTTTGAAGTGTAACATTTACACAAATTAGACCCTGTCTTGAAATATGCTTTGGCACTAGAGTTATTACTAAACCCTTATTATACTTTTATACTCTCCTAGAGTGAAAAAGATTATTTCAACAAAGTAACTAGGTAGAAATTTCTAAACAAACAGATGTCCTGGCATAAAATCTAAAATGCACCTTAATAGGACCAAGCCCAAGGGCTTCAGGTAGTTAAAGAAGGCTCCATCGGCAAGGGACGGAAATGCATCAAGCTGTTGAAAGAAAAGTGAGTCTTAAACTCCTAGAGAGATACAACAAGAGCATGTGCCAGGCAGCGAGGATACAAGAAAGGCTTAGAAATGGCAGGGGTGTGTTTGGATGAAGGCAGAGAGAACCGTGCGTGGAGGAAAGGGTGCCTGTCAAGAAGAGACGGCGAGGAAGAAATGTGAGGAAGTGACGAGGCTTGAACAACCCAGAATGGTAGATGGAATCTGGATCTGATCCTGTCTTTGAGGGGAATACTGTGGAAGGCTCCTCTTTCTATGGAAAGTGGGATTATGTGGGCAAAGCAAAGTTTTAGAAAGATTCCTCACCCAGCAGTAGACAAGGTGGGTTAGAGCCAAAACATAGTGAAATCAGAGCATAAGGCAACTATCAATGGCCTGGGCTTGAGATACTGTGGGAGCAAAACAGGGCCAGCGGTGGTGAGAACCTAAAGGACGATGCTAAAGACATAAAACTGCCATGACAGGGGTGGGTAGCTCAGTGGACTTAGTGAGGAACTAAGTATAAAGTAATTCAGATGCCAAAGACATAACTGGAAAGGGATGGAACCATTGCCAGGGTGATAGAGTTTGGGGTGGTGGTAGAATAGATGTTTTCCAGAAATAATGAGTTTTGTTTTATGTCGACACCATGTCAAAGTGGTAATACATGTCCAACAATAGTTAGGGGGGTGAAACTGTTAAAATTTTATTGTGTGTCCATGTGTTATTGAAGCATTGTAGTAGACACAAGAGACAGGACAGTTAACCAGGAAAAACTGTTCCTATCCTCATGGAACTAGGAAGGTTCTACAAGTACATTTAAGTGTTAAGTAAACATATACTGAAGAAATAATGAAGTGTGGATCTAATTTTAAAATATAGGTAGAAGGAGGTGGGTGGGGCATAGTTGAAATGAGATGAACAATGAGTTGATAATTGTTGAATCTCAGCAGTGGACGCATGAAGGTTCATTTTACTTTTTTTCTACTTTTATATATGTTTAAAATTTTCCACAATAAAATATTGTGGGGTTTTTTTGAAAGGCAAAAAGTTCCATGCATAGAGCTGATAATTAGAGATGATGTTTGAGAGAGCGATGGAATCCTATAAAGAGTAGCTCAAGAGAGGTGGGCTATACTTTTTTCTTTCAGAAAGAGAAAAGTATAGTCTCTGAGAACTGGAAAAGATTCAAGATGTTTCAAAGAAAAGATGGGTGAGTATGATTACTGATTGCTACAAAGGTCAGAGAAGAAGTTATAACTTAAAGATGCTGTTATAAATTATATCCAGCAAATTGCTTATTGCTAATTTTGTTCCTTTCTGCTTGGATGTTCCTTGATGGCTGAAAGGAATTAGGTACCTGAGGAGCTTGAGAAAACAGTTTTAATCAATCCATTTGATGAGGCGTTTATTACTTGAGAAATATCATCCAAGCTTGATGTCCTAATATGTGAATATCTATTCTATTTGTAGGAGACAAATGAGCAAAAACTTCACAACATAGCCAATGAACTCTTGCTTACGGAAAGAGCTTATGTCAACCGACTTGACCTCTTAGATCAGGTAATGTTTTCCTTTTCAAAATTACTTGAATTTTTAGCACTATATGTTATTTTAACTTCATAATTAAAGTCTTTAGAAACTACAAAGAAGGCCCTCTCCCTTTTGGGCCAATGAAAGGAAAAGTGTAATATTTTCAACTTTGTTAGCAAATTTACTAGGTATAAAGGGTATATACTTAACATGGAACAGACTAAGGGACTCTTGGTGTAAGTCACAAGTGCGTTTGTGTATCATAGCCCTAAACCATTTATTGTGGTTCTGTACACCGCATTATTAATATAATCTAAATAAGATTTTGGTGATTCTGGTGTGATACTAATGTGAATACATCCTGATCCTGTCTGGCCTGTTTGCTCTTCAGCCCTGTGTGCATCGTGTGGGTTGCTGCAGGGCCAGAAGGGGTTGGAGAGTTCTCTTGCTCAGCCTTGCGTGAAATGTCTTTTACGGTGCCTGGTGTAAAGTTGCATGGTCCATATTTGTTGATTATGTGAGTCTACTTTATCACATTTTGTACTTTTATCATGGGAGAGCCTTCAGTATCATTTCAAAAGCACATTAGCAGAGAAAGGGTTTTTTTCCAATATTTCTTTTTAGAAAATTTTTTTTAAAAGTGAATTTATTGGGGTGAAATTGGTTAATAAAATTATATAGGTTTCAGGTGTATAATTCTATAATATATCACCTGCATATTGTGTTGTGTGTTTACCACCCTAAGTCAAGTCTCCTTCCATCTCCATTTATCCCCCTTTATTCTCTTCTACCTGCCCCCATCCCCCTGCCACTGTGGTAATCACCATACTGTTGTCTGTGTTTATGAGGTGGGGGTTTTTTTTTCTTAATCCCTTCACCTTTTCCACCCAGTCCCCAAGCCCCCACTGCTTTGACAGCTGTCAGTCTGTTCTCTGTATCTATGAGTCTGAGTCCATGTCTATTTTGTTTGCTCGTTAGATTCTGCATATACGTGAAATCATATAGTACTTGTCTTTCTCTGACTGGCTTATCTCATTTAACACAATACTCTCCAGGTCCACCCATGCTGTCACAAAGGGTAAGGTACTCCCTCCTCCATTTTTTACTGTAGAGTAGTATTCCATTGTGTAAATGTACTACTGATTTTTTTATCCACTTGTCTACCAATGGACACTTGGGCTGCTTCCTTATTTTGGCCATTATAAATAATGCTACAATAAACACATGGGTGCATATATTCTTTTGAATCAGTGTTTTGGGTTTCTTTGGATATATTCTCCGAAGTGGAATTGCTCAGTCATAAGACAGTTCCATTTTTAATTTTTTGTGGTATCTCCATACTGTTTTCCACAGTGGCTGCACTAATCTGCATTCCCACCAACAGTGCACTAGGGTTCCCTTTTCTCCACGTCCTTGCCAACACTTGTTGTTTGCTGATTTACTGATGATAGCCATTATGACAGGTGTGAGGTGGTATCTCATTGTGGTTTTCATTTGCATCTCTCTGATGGCTAGTGTCATTGAGCATCTTTTCTATGTTTGTTGGTCATTGGTTTGTTCTCTTTGCCCATTTTTTAATTGGATAGTTTGCTTTTTCGGGGGGTTGGTGTTGAACCTTATAAGTTTTAAAATAAATTTTGTGTATTGACCCCTTATCAGATGTATCATTAGCGAATATGTTCTCCCATTCAGTGGGTTAACTTTTCATTTTGGCTTCCTTGGCTGTGCAAAAGCTTTCTAGTTTAATACAGTACCATTTGCTTATTTTTCTTCTGTTTCTCTTGCCTGAGCAGATATACCAGAAAAAAATATTGCTAAAAGAAATGTTTGAAAGTTTACTACCTATGTTTTTAGGATTTTTAAGGTTTTGAGTCTAACAGTTAAGTCCTTTATCCATTTTGAGTTTATTCTTTCATTTGGTATAAGAAGGCGGTCTAATGTCATTCTTTTTACTTGCATTTGTCCAATTTCCTCAACACCATTTATTAAATAGGCTATCTTTACTCCATTGTATGTTCTTGATTTGTCAGATATTGACCATAAAGATGTAGGTTTATTTCTGGGCTCTCTATTCTGTCCCATTGATCTATATGTCTGTTTTTATGCCTGTATCATTCTGTTTTGGTTACAGTATAGGTTGTAATGAACAGTATACAGTATAGTACGGCCTTGCAGTACAGTTTGATATCAGGTAGTGTGATTCCTCCAACTTCGTTCTTTCACAAGGTTGCTATGGCCATTCAAAGTCTTTTGTGGTTTGAAATAAATTTTTGGAACATTTGTTCTAGTTCTGTGAAAAGGTTTCTAAATATATCATTAGAGCAACTGTTGAAAACTAAGGTCCCTTAATCCTGCTTCAGTGATAAAAGAACAAGGTAACTGGTAGACAATCTGCTAATATAGGCCCCTTTATAAGAGAAAGTCACCGTGTTTGAGTTTTAGTTGGGAGAAGAATTGTCCCACTTCTGCCCCTGGAAAACTGGAACACTTCAGGAGTAGGTTGTCCTGTGTACACTCCCTGTCACCGATTCCCACAGTAAGCTGTGTCGCTGTTATGGTGAGCTTTAAGGGGCCAAATTAAAACTGTGTTTTTTTGAAATAATGAGTTTGTGACTCAAACATTCATTTTCCAAAGAATTTCTCCATAATTCAGTCCATTTATGTTGAGTTTGTGTCTTCAAAACAACTTTTCTCCTCATGGGGATCAAAGACCTGAAACATTTAGATACCCCCATAGTGGGGATGTGTCTTTTCTTCTGTTGAATGGAGTCCCTCCACCTGCCCCACCTTTTTCAGCCACATTAGCTTATTCAGCTATTTTTGCTGACCTTAGAGAACTTTAGAGTCTTAATTACTTCAATATCCTATCTACTGATGTCTCTAAGGATGTAATTTTATGGGGTTTTTTTTTTGTCTCCCAAGAAAACGCTGTGGGGGTGGATTTAGAAAATTAACAACCACCTAGACATTGTGAAGGAACAGACTTCCTTCTGCCTGCATTTAGCAGAATGTCAAGGAGTGTAGTAGCCCTAGTGGAGGACAGCTAAGACTACAAGTTCTTTTTTACTGTCTTTAAGATACCGGCTATCGCCCTGGCTGGTGTGACTCAGTGGATTGAATGCTGACCTGTGAACCAAAGGGTCGCTGGTTCAATTCCCAGTCAGGGCACATGCCTGGGTTGCAGGCCAGGCCCCTGGTGGGGTCCCACGAGAGGCAACCACATATTGATGTTTCTCTCCCTCTCTTAGTCCCTCCCTTTCCCTCTCTCTAAAAATAGATAAATAAAATCCTTTTTTTTTAAAAAAAAGATACCAGTTATTATGTGCAGGACAGGTGAAGATCTTTTTTATGCTCATACGAGTGTTTTAACTTAGGCATTATTTTTTACTAAAGAGCAGAGAAACATCGGAGAACTGAAATATTCTTTAGTTCATCCACTGACCAGCTCTTTATCAAGCACCTTTTCTACAGTGGAAAGTAAATCATGATGTGCTCCCTCCCCAAAGGTTGCATAGTTTTAATAGAAAAAAATTAGATTTATTTCAACGAACGACAGTAATGACAATATGTAGGAAGTGCCATATACATGTCATTGAAAACATAAACAGGAGTGGGGCCATACCACAATTATTGTGTGTATGCGAACTTTTTTAATCTCTTAACTCCACCTGTGGATTGGAGAGGTAAGTTCTGTTGACCTCAATTGGAAATTCTCCAGCTCAGAAAAGGTTAACATGCCACAGAAAGAGGTATACCCTAGGTTAGGGTCAAAGTTTCCTAATTTGAATCCTTGGTTCTTCTTAATCAAAGCACATACTCACTCTTACAGTTCAAAAATGATTGATTTCTTGAACCATGAACATTTTCATTTATTCAACAAAATCATATTAAAGATCCCACTATGTGCCTAGCACAATGCCAGATGGTAAGCCAATAAATTTGAGGTAATGTTTGCTTTATTCTCTTATTCAGGTATTTTATTGCAAACTATTGGAAGAGGCAAATCGAGGCTCATTTCCAGCAGAGATGGTGAATAAAATCTTTTCTAATATTTCATCAATAAATGCCTTCCATAGTAAATTCCTATTGCCAGAACTGGAGAAACGAATGCAAGAATGGTAAGAGGAAGAGAGAGCAAATGATATGTCTGACAATCGTACTAGATGCTGTGCTATTCAGCTTTTAAACTGAAATACTAATGTCATGCAGACCTGTAGGCAAACATTTGTGCTAATTTTTTATGTGATAGACCAATAATAGAAGTTGCATGTTTTCAACTTTAATTGAAAAGAATGTCATCTCTGCTGTTCAAACTATTTAGATTAGTGAAGATAACATGTTATGGGTGATGTGGAGCTTCAAGATTTTCTTCGCTCCCTCTTTACTATATCATTCCTAGCCTTCAGGTGTCGACCCGCCTTCACTCTCTACCAGTCTCACAGCAGGGTCGATCCAGTAAAGCACAGGGTGCGTGTAGAAAAGCGACTACTTCATTCGAAATTCTGTTCATTCACTCATTCTATAAGAAACCTTCATGACTTGTTTCTATATTTTATACAGGGAAACTACCCCTAGAATTGGTGATATCCTTCAGAAATTGGCGCCATTCTTGAAGATGTATGGAGAATATGTGAAGGGATTCGATAACGCAATGGAATTGGTTAAAAACATGACAGAGCGTATTCCCCAGTTCAAATTAGTAGTTGAAGAAATTCAGGTAATATGATTCTTTTATTCAAGGCCCTGCATCAATTTTTCTGTACAAATCATAGTCTTCTAGATTTAAAATGTAGATCGCAATAGCTGTCCAAGACACCTCACCAAATTCCTTTCCACTCTGAATGATGCAGAAGTCATCTCTGCAGAGTTAAAGTATTTATTGAGCATGGGCCGTGTGTTGAATAGTGAAATCTCCATTTGCTTTTGCGATCAGAAAGGGGGTTTTAGCAGGGGTGCACATATGTTACAAAGTGGATTCCCATTTAGTTCTGTGCCTGTCCTTTCTTTCAGAGGTTGAGATGTTGGACAGAATATAAAGCATGATCGCTATAAATCCTGACATCTTGGGAACATAATTATGTTGGATTTTTTTGTTGCTTTATTTCTGTGTCCTGATTTTTAAAAAAATTTATTATACCTGGATAATACATTTTAATAATACCATAGTAATTTCTATTTGATTCTCTAATCAAAATTGTTAATAACTATTCTTTGCTAAAATTTAAGTAGTTGAAAGGAATTCTTTAGTTACACAAGGTTCTGGGGTTGGGGACTCTCTTGCTCCTTGACTGCTCTCTTTTGTCTGTCTTCCTTCTCCGTATTTGCCCACGAGACAATACATTCAAGGAGCTTAACATGGAGCTTGTTGCACAACAAGTGCTCACTACACAGTGGTGATGATGGTGGTCGTCATTTTATCAAATCTTAAGTCCGTCTCGGCAATGCCTGTCACCTTCACATCATGTGGAAAGGATGGGGCTGTGAAAGGAGTGATGGGCTGAGAATCTGCTAACTTGGTTTAGAATCTAGTCTGCCACTTACAGTCATTTGACCTTAGAAAACTCCCCTAACTCTTCTCAGCCATGGTTTCTTTATGTATAGATTTTGGGATCAGTAATACTTTCCCGAATATATATAGGTATGTTAGAGAAATTGAGTTAATTAAACTTATTAATATTTATTAAGCAAAGCCATTAGCCCTCAGCTTCCATGCTAATTTCAGGTTCTTTTTCCTTTCTTTGGTCTACAATAATAACTTCCACACTAGTTTCCTCACACTTCCTAAAGCCATATTGCAGTAGGTTGATCTTAATAGATCTCTAATGATATCACTCCCATGCGTGAAAATCTGCGTTAGATGAAACACTAGTAAACACAGTCTGACATTATTACCCCAGACTACTGTTTCTTCTTCATCCTGCTTCCTTACAAATGTATTACTTGCCAACAAAACTCAATTGTCCTCTTTTACTGAACATGTTTTGTGCCCCACTGTCTTGGGCCTGGTCTCCAAGGTCACTCGGTCTTCACTCACTTTCCTTACTTTCCTCCCCACCCAAAGCCTGCCCTCATCCAAGTTCATGTTCAATGCTCCTTTATCTGTGAAGCCTTTGGATTCTTGTTCGCTTTTAAATGCAAACACCCTGTCTTAATACAACCTTTATACCCTGCAGTGTCTTAATCATAATATGAGTTTAATAAACATGTTAGGATTCATGCTTTGTTTAATATGAACAAGGGCATATTTTGAGTCATGTTTTCCCTTTATTATGTTAACAGTTTATTGAAAACAAATGCTATGGACTCAGTTTCTCAGGGGTGGGTGGGGGTGGAAACTATTTAGGGATTTTGGTTTCTAATGGAAAAGAATTCCATGACCTAATGAAAAATTAAAATTTTCTGACAGATGATAAAATGAATGATCATATCTTGTCATTCTTTTTTAAGTTCAAAGGAAATGACATTTGTGGTAGATTTATTATGAAATAGTTTCTGCTAAGTCTAAAGTCATTTAATAAAGTTGTTCTTAGTGAAGCTTAATTAAATATAAGGTGGGGCAAAAGTAGGTTTACAATTGTGAGTACAAGAAACACAGTTTATTCTTGTATTGATATTATTATTTATCTATTGTATTATTTTCCACACACACAACTCTAAGCCCACTTTTGGCACACCCTATCAATGCTTCTTGTGAAAATCTGTGGAGTGAGATTTAACAATGTGACCTCACACTCCCTGGTAGTGGGTGACTGAAGTGGGTGCCAGCAATCTGGGATGTTCTTGCTTATAGTTCTTGATCCCCCTTCTGTTGTTATATTAGGTTGTTAGTCCTCAGACTGAAGTGGAAGAATCTGGGATGTTTTTAAATGCACATGCCCAGTCCCTAAGCTCAAAGACTGTAGTTTCATAGATTGGGATGGGGCTCAAAATTTTTATTATTACTAGCACTCTAGATTTATCTATCTAATGCAGATGTGATACACAGACCAGGCTTTGTAGAGAGATTCTGCCCTTGATGAGAGCTCTGTACACCAGTGAGTTTTTAGATTATCTACCCTAATTCTTAAATCTTTCTTTATAAACTTAATTACAGAAACAGAAGATCTGTGGGAACTTGACTTTGCAGCATCACATGCTAGAACCCGTTCAGCGGATTCCCCGGTATGAGATGCTCCTTAAGGATTACCTGCGGAAGTTGCCCGCTGATTCTCCTGACTGGAATGATGCTAAAAGTAAATGCTTCCCCCGCCCCTCTTTTCCATTGTGGGGTCATTTGGTGGCCAAGCAGCCTTGTGATAACAAAGCAAGATAGGTCTCAGAGCCACTTTGGTAAAATATTGGTGACAGAGAAGAACCTCACTGGAAATTGTTATCAGCACCTCAGTTAGACAAGCACTTTAGAGCAATGCAAATCACTTTTCTCATGCTGGTTTCACGTTAGTCATTAACTCTGAAACATAAAACTATAGTCTTAGAGACTTCTGGACCAGCAGTGCGCAGTGACCTCACAGGAAGAATCTGCTGTTCTGAATCACCAGTGCTGCTGGTTGACTAGATAGGTTGATGCAAACCAAGGAAGTTCAGATGGGATTATGGAAAAATCACCTAAGCAGAGTTGGCTTAGAAGAGAAAATGGTGTTATTTAGTGTCAGTTACCATTTTCCCTGGGAAAACTTTATTCTTGTCCACTAGTTGTGTTTTATTTTACAGACTTGCCATTTACATCTTTTAGATGATAAATGAAATACTTTTTTTTAAAGACTCAAGAGTTTCAATACTAATTTTACTTTCTCGTGTACTTTTAAAAAATCTATTAGCTGTGAAGGTAAGCATGAAAGTTAAGAAGTAGAAATGGGTTAGTATTCAATAAGTACTAAAAATACTGGTGTACAGTCTTAAAGTGTCACCACTTCCCCTAATAGTTTCTTGTGTCCTACTGTAAGTGGCCCTTGGTCAGAGATGAGGAACACAGAACACCGCCTTTGGTCTTGGGGCCTGGGTAGTGTTTCAACACGGGCTGTCTCTGCTTCGGTTTTCCCACCGTCCAAGAGACTCAGTGACCACAGGAACTGCTCTCCTCCCCTTTGTCCCCCTTCAGGTTAGAACTTTCCTGACTTGATTTCTTCCACTTTCTATTCCATCTCCACTGGCCACTCATCTGGCCTGAGTGCTTGGCGTTAGTGGCAGAACTAGTAGTTGGGTCAGAGGTGGAAGTCCTCGCTGCCGCTCCTCACGCCGGCCCCCTGCGCAGCGTCCCCAGCCTGTCCTGTTTTGTTTCCCTGCACCGTGAATCCTGCAGAGAACGCACAGAATTGCCCAAGTTGGCACAGTTCTCCAAACTATAAGTCCAAGTCGTTGAATATAGGAGAAACTGAATTTATATTTATAGTTTGGAGAGCTAGTTTCTTCTGTATTCAAAGACTTGGACTTGCACTAAGGTGCTAATGTCAAAAATGACAAAGTTGGCAACATGCTAGTGTACTTTATTACTTTTTTATTTCCCATTGCCATGTACACTAAAATTCTAAGGAGATCATGGAGGGAGACCTAAAAGTAGGGAAAGTGACAGAAGTGCATTTTGTTCAGCAGTGGAACAAAGAACAGAGAAAGTTTGGTGCAAAGGTGATAAAGTGGCTGTAACAGAATTAGCCCAACCAGCATTCATAAGACTGAAAAAAAAGTAAGAGAGGGGGGCTTTATTTAGGGGTGAGGGCATTCCCTGGGTTGAGCCAGCGGGAGGTCTCAGCTTTTCCAGTTTCGCCAGCATCCCAGAGTCCCTACCTCGCTCATTCCAGGATTTCCTGTTCCTGTGTCTTGCCACCACCCACCCAGCAACAAATCCCTCCATCAGCATTGGTGTCGGAAGATTCTCTTTCACCTGGCTGAGGCTAGATCTGTGGTTGTCTTTTTCCTGAAGAAAGGTGGTTATGCTCAGTGGTTACATTGCTCATAAGAACAAATAAAATAATACCACTGAAATGTTGTAGGAATTTGGGCCAGAAGTCTTTGGTTCAAATGTGGCCCTTTGATCTCCTAGTTGTGTGACCGTATACAAGGCATATCACTCTCCAGTTCTTTCGTCTGACAAGGGGAGCGGATGTACTTTCCATCCTGGATTGTAGAAGAAGTAACTGACCTAATATCTATGAAAGCACCTGGCAGAGTGCTTTGTCCAAGCTAGTGTACATGATATTTGTCAATTTTGAAAGTTTCATTATGGATTAAATATACCTATAAGCCTAATCATCATATATGACTTTTTATGACGAAATACCCTTCAAGTTCCAAGTATTGATCTACTTACAGATGAACTTTTGAAAGTATGCAGTTTATCAGTGGAAATTGTTCCTGCTTTCATTGTGTATCTCTGGTCTCAGATTTCTGCCACTTTTTTCTCACTTCCCAGTTTCTTCTTATTGTAATGAGAAGTGTGTTATTCAGCTATCTAGTAGCATAGTAAGGACAACATGTATTTATTTTCTTTTCTTTCCCCCCATTTAGAATCACTTGAAATTATATCTACAGCAGCAAGCCATTCTAATAGTGCAATAAGAAAAATGGTAAGTATGTTTCAGGGGAGATAGTAATATTCTATTTAGATAATTGTCAACAATATAGCCTAATATTATCTATAGGTTTGGATCAAAATGAATTGATACAGATAAACCAAAAAAGTTGTATGCAAACTACTTGGCATTTTCTGTAATAATCTTCTCCCAAGTTTTAATTTCCTCATAACTGACATTGTATGTCAAAATTTAGGCTTAGTTTCAGTTGCTTCTGAGTTCTTCATATTTTAGCCAAGGTTGAAGGTTGTTGTATCATTAAAGCCACCAAGGTGAAACTCCTTATATTTGATCTTGCCATGTTTTGTTTTAATTTCCTAGGAGAACCTAAAGAAACTTTTAGAGATTTATGAAATGTTGGGAGAAGAAGAAGACATTGTAAATCCTTCAAATGAGCTAATAAAAGAGGGACAGATCCTTAAACTAGCTGCTCGGAACACCTCAGCACAAGAACGCTACCTTTTCTTAGTGAGTATTGTGGTGTGAGCAAGTCACACAAGAATAATTTACAAGCATTGTTATGTATGTCCTGGGTAAGTAGGATGCTCTCTCTGTATGGCTAACCTGGTGTAGTCACGGCTGTCAACATTCCACAAGGGGAATGGATGTCCTTAGTAACTGTCACATGTTCTTTCAAGACACATCTTTTTTTGAAGTATTTTTCTATGTATTTGCCATACATAATTAACTCCTGTAACACATACTGAAGACAATTTGACCTTTCCCTGAAGATGATAGTTGTCAGTGTGCATGTGGGCTGTGACATGCTTTCTGGAATCTTCCTTTTCTTGTTGCAGATTTTCTCTTTCCTTTCATGCTTACAGGCTAAAAGGTACCATTTCCTGGGTATCAACTGGGTCAGCATACTATTCCTTAACAACAGTTCTCTCTCTAATCATCTCTAACCACTACTTCTAATCTTTTTAGTAGGAAGTGCAGAAGCAACGTTGTGAAACTTGTGCTTAAAATAATAATGTGGCCCTGGCCGACGTAGCTCAGTGGATTGAGCGCGGGCTGCGAACCAAAGCATCGCAGATTCGATTCCCAGTCAGGGCACATGCCTGAGTTGCAGGCCACGGCCCCCAACAACCGCACATTGATGTTTCTCTCTCTCTCTCTTTCTCCCTTCCTTCCCTCTCTAAATAAATAAAATCTTTTAAAAATTAAAAAAAAATAGTACAATTAAGGCAACAACAGAATGTAAAAAAAATAACAATGTGTAAAGCACATGAGTTTGCTACACAGTTCCTTTTCACTGCAGTCAGTCCCTGTCCCTTCCCTCACTTCCTGGAAATGACGATTAGTCTGAGGTTTATCTCAAATGCAAGAGCTCTTCCTGGGGTATCCAGGCTATTTATTTTTAGTCATTGGTAATTCCAGCCTCTTTTCTTATCCGATGATGTAATGAAAATCATACTAATAGCTAACACTGAGTAACAATAAGCCAACATTGAGTAATAGCTCAGTAAACATTAGCTATTATTAGGATTATTGATTATAGGCAAAGAAACAGAGAAACATCGGAAAAGAGGCTGCCCAGTAACCAGCGCGCGATTACAGTCTCAGGGTGTTGCTCACATCTGACTTCACTGCTGCAAAGAAGCCACCTCACCACTCTAATATGAGTTGTCATTGGGGGCTTAGAAGTTTCTGTTGTGTGGTCGCAGCCTCCCTTAAAAGGATTTGTAGAAACTAATTGTCACGCAGAGGAGTGTTCTCATTTTTGAAAAAGAACATATGGTCACCATATGACCCAGCAGTTCTACTCCAAGTTAGTATAACTCAAGAAAGTTGGAAACATATAGCTACTCAAAACTTATATGTGAATGTTCATAGCAAAATTATTCGTGCTAGCCAAAAAGTGGAAACAACCTAAATGTTCATCAGTTTATGAGTGGGTAAACAAATTGTGGTATACCCATGCAGGGGAATATGATATGCCAGTAAAAAGGAATAAACTACACTCCCTGCCCGGGCGGCTCAGGTGGTGGGAGTGTCGTCCCTTGTACCAAAATTGTTGCTGGCTTGATCCCCAGTCAAGGGCACATACCTAGGTTGCAGGTTCAGTCCTTGATTGGGGCATGTACGGGAGGTAACCAATCAATGTCTCTTTTTCTCTCTCTCTCTAATCAATAAGCATCTCCTTGGGTGAGGTGGTTGAGGTGTGTGGGCTCTGGACAGGTAGGTTTCATATGAAAGGTATGCTTGCAGGTGAGTCATTTACTGTCTCTTGGATTTGGGTGACTCTTGAGAGGGGCTACTATCCATCCAGTGTCAGTAAGGTCCCAAAAAGTCAAAACATCAAAAACACAGATTAAAAAGACACACAGCCCTGGCTGATGTGGCTCAGTAGATTGAACGCTGGCCTGTGAACCAAACAGTCACTGGTTCAATTCCCCAGTCAGGGCATGTGCTGGCTTGTAGGCCAGGTCCCCAGTAGCGGTGCTTGAGAAGCAGCCACACATTGATGTTTCTCTCCCTTCCTCCCTCCTTTCTCCTCTCTCCAAAAATAAGTCAAATCTTTAAAAAATAAAAGACATACATGATACACTATTTGGGGGAAAATGCCTGGAAGTCCATGTCTTCCCTTTGTTGTTACCCTGCCTTTAGGTGCTTAGGTCATTTTCTGCCCCCTCTTCCACATTAGTGGTATAGTTTCTACAGTTGAACTTTGAACCAATTGTGTCAGTTTAATTTCCACATTGGAGAATCATTCTGGAAGTAGTTTAGGTTGCATACCTTGATGGGGACCCAAAGGAAGCAGCTAGTAGGAGGACAGGTGGCAAGAGCCTTGGGGGAATACAGCAGCAGTAACTCGGGGGCAAGGACCCGTCTTGTTCCAGTTATTAGAAGCTCCCAGACATCTCATGATGCCACTGCCTGCCGGGAGGATAAAGGCACAGAGCAGGAATTTTAGGAAAGCCACACTTATCCTTGGCAGACCATCTCGGAAGCATTTCCTGTAGTGTTTACTCTGCTAACGACCCCCTCTAGTACTGGGCTGGTCTCAGACTCTGTCCTCCGGCCTGCACACTTTTATTCCCATGGAGCATCTTGGGTTTTTCATCTGTAGAAACTTCAGAAATACCATATTTTCCTTTCTCTCTAGAAAGAACATGAGGGCTAGTTTTCTGTTTCCTACTCTGGGGACGTTACATTTGTCTGAAAAGCCAAATTATGATTAGAATCTGATTTTGGCTTTTGCATCTTCATGTGTTTGCAAATTTGCTTGCCTCCATACCATTTTTAAAAAATATGTCAGTGACAGGGTATTCTGTTAAATGAATAACCATACTGGAATCTGAAAGTTAGAAAACCCCCAACAAATTATCCTATAGAAAGGCCCAAAGATGTTTTAGTCTTGGCCCTTTGGAGTTCTATTTCTTACTTCCTTGTAGCTTGACAGATTTAGAATTTTTTTGCTTTGAATACAGACCTGGCTCTGGCAATTTCTCCAACAATGTACTTTTACCTTCTAAAACACATTTTAGTGAGACATCAAATTGAATTATTTCATTCAAATAAACGTATTTTAAGAAACTTCAGATCAATCCTGGAGGAACACTAGAAATCAAGAACAGTGGGCTTCCATCCTGGCAGGTGTAGCTCAGTGCATTGAGCATAGACTGAGGACCAAAGGGTCGCAGGTTCAATTCCCAGTCAGGGCACATGCCTGGGTTGTGGGCCACGTGCCCAGTGCAGACTATGTGAGAGGCAACCACACATTGATGTTTCTCTCTCTCTCTCTTTCTCCCTCCCTTCCCCTCTCTAAAAGTAAATAAAATCTTAAAAATAAAATATTAAAAAAAATAACGTTCCACTTCCCTGCACTTTGAAGGAAATTGAGAGTTGCTTTTAGATTTTGGCACAGCCTAGTGCTTCCAGACCCTGTCTCACTAGCCCGGGGTTGCTTTGTCAGTATCTGCTTCATAGCTCTGGGAATGGAATAAAATGGAACCTCCTACACTGAGAAGTAAAGTTGATCTACTAGGAGTTACAGTTGCTCTAACTTCCTTTTTTACTACCAGAGGAAACCCAGCGAGGTGACGGTGGCTTCTGCCACAAGAACAAGGTTCACAGAGGGAGCAGGACTAGCTACCTAATTCCTTTATGTATAAACTGTCTACTTCTGTGTACCCAGTATTTCATATCCTTCAAGAGCTCGCTCACACCTTTGCCTGCAGGAAGAAGAAAAGGGGTATTTACTGACTAGCACTAGATTTTGACCTATACATTAAAAAGTGAATATATAGTTAATGATGATTTGGAATGTGAAGTTTAACTTAGGAAGAAGATAATAGGGGAAATGGAACCCTGAAAGCATGAAAGGGAAACAGAAATGTATCATTTATTATAAGATTGTCTGTCACCTTGTATGAGCATAACTACAGAAAGTAAGTGCTGCCCTAGCTGGTGTGGCTCAGTTGGAGCATCACCAAAAGTTTACCGGTTCGATTCCCGGTTAGGGCAAGTGCCTAGGTTGTGTGTTCAATCCCTGGTCCAGAAGCATACAAGAGGCTACCCATCTATGTTCTCTGTTACATTGGTGTTTTCTCTCTCTATTTCTCTCTCTCCCTACCCTTGCCTCCCTCCCTAAAAGCAATGAAAAATGTCTTTGGGTGAGGATTCAAAAACAAATGCTGAGAACTTCCATATTCACTTGTGTTTCCATAAAATAACAAGACTTCGCTGAACTTTATGGAGTGAACTTGAGTACAAATATCAGATAACTCAGAAATTTTATGCCAGAACATCTCATTTGTCACTCAGTTTGCAGGAAAAATTGGCGGCTGTTGCGATCTTTAGAGTGCGAGCCCTGTCCCCTCAGTGGTAGCGCAGCAGCTGGTCCTGCGCCATCCACAGCCTTGACCGAATGCCCGCCTGAGAAGGCCCTGATAGACGAGAGAAAGCAGTGTTAAAACGGACAGGTGGCAGGCAAGCTGGTGCCTTAATCAAGCTGGGATGGTGCTGAGAACCTTTCAGTGCACTTTCAAACCTCTACATCCTAGCTACGCTCTGATTGCCATAGTTTGAATACAGCAGACATGATAAAGGCACAGGTTATTAGTGTTCGTTTCTAGAAAGGTAAACGTGAAATGTGCTGTTGAGATACATCTGATAAAGTGTACTTGTGTCCTTTTCTTTCTACATTATCCACTTGTGGAAATGAAATTTCTAACACTGGTTACAGGAAGTTGCAAAATAAGGTATGAGGAACAACTGTGAGAAATTTGCTTTCAGAATGAGTACAGTACACGATATCATGAAAACATGGTGAAATGTCTTTAAATGTCCATCACCACTTTCTTGTCCTTATGGCTGTGTGGAGCCAAACAGAGGACCTGGCAGAACGAGACATTTCTCCTCATTTAATTCTGTCAACAGCCTGTAACTGTTACAGGCAATGATCCTGAGATGTGCGAGGTTACATTGTGAATAGGGGCTAAGTCCCCAGTTGCTCTGGTCTTTGAAAAATATATGTGACCCTAGAAACAATACATATGAAGGAGGAATGTAGGTTTGGACCTTATTTAGGAATCTGCCTGTGAATTAACCCAAATATTTAGACCCTTTCATCCTTTCTGCATGTTTATTACATTCAAAGGGAATTAAATGCCCTCCCCAAATCATTGCTCGGGCCTGAGAAGAAAGAGCTGCTCATTGTTGCCCAGGAATGAGGCATTACACAGAATTTGATTCAGGTTCAAAATAAAGTTTTTCATTTTAGAAGTAAATCTTATAAAGCTCTGGCTGGGTAGCTAAGTTGGTTGGAGCATTGTCCTTATGTGCCAAGGTTGTGGGTTCAATTCCTGGTCAGGGCACATGCAAGAATCAACAAGGAATCATTTAGTAAGTGGGGCAACAATTCAGTGTTTCTCTCTTCCTTTCTCTCTCCCTCTAAAACAAATAAATACATTTTTAAAGGCAATCTTATATAAAGACTATATTTAATTCTGTTCATTTATATAGGACAAATCCTTAAGCATATGTGTCAATATAAAACAGTGACTTAATTTTTTACAGAGTTAATATGCTGACCCCACATGTTTGAATAAAATTTAAACTAATAATTTTGGCTATATACTAATTTAACATTAAACACACTGATAAAAATAATTGTTAAATATTACTCTTTCCCTCTGTGACAGAGGACTTCTTATAAGCTGTGACAGAGTTGCTGTCTCTAAGACACAATGATTAGAAATTTTGTTGTTTAAGTGCTTCCGTTTTGTGGGTTGAGAATTTCAGTTGCTGGTATATGGGAGGTTTTTAATAAATTATTGCTGAATTTAATTGAATTAATTTCTTTAATAGTACAAAATGAGGACTGGTTTATTTAAATATCAATAAAATATTTATCAACCAACAAAGGGAAGTGTATGCTATGAATTTTAAAATGATACTTTTGGTACAAACATAAAATCTCAATACAGTCTTTAAATAATTTTGCTCATATAGAAAGTATGATACTGCTTGGGAGGTCCTTGGAATACCGTCTAAGGCTCCTTTCTGTTTTGGTCACTTTCTTCTTTGTTTTCCTGTCTGTTATTGACATGCATTCTGCCTCCTTGCAGTTCAACAACATGCTGCTGTACTGCGTGCCAAGATTCAGCTTGGTGGGCTCTAAATTCACAGTTCGAACCAGGGTTGGCATAGATGGAATGCAAATTGTAGAGACTCACAATGAGGAATACCCGCACACTTTCCAGGTATCTGGGAAAGAGAGGACGCTGGAATTGCAAGCCAGGTAAGAGAACCATTTCTATCACACAGCTTTCAAAAGTGGCAGAATCCATTGTACAATAGAATAATTCTGAGGATCTTTGGCAAGTGAATGTTGCAGACCTCTGCAGCTCTGGTTGGATGTCAGTGGAGAGATGGAAGCTCTTAAAAGGCTGGAATGATGCCCTCCCTTCTGATTCCTCTACAGTGCCTAGGATAGTTGTTTTCAGAAGTAAGCATTCAGTAAACTATTTACTCTTTAGATATACAAGGCGCTCAGAGAATGAAGTTACATTTAAGCCAAGCTTTGAGTCTTTGTAGGAAAAGATTCTCCTCTAACCCTTTTTCCCTCCATCCTTCTTCCATTGGTCCACAAATGTTTATTGATGCTTATCATTCCATGCCAAATGGTGAAGTTTAATGCTCAGTCTTTCAGAGGCTCTGCATTCATGGGACTTAATGACACTTTGATGGGGAGAATGTTCAGAGGAGGCAGGGTGGAAAAGGTAATGATCCTCTTGCCACTATTGGAGGATACACCAAGGAGGCCATTTGGGCCTCTAGCAAGTAGGACTTCTTATATGCTTCACTGAGTGGGAGAGAAAGGGCTGGAGTTTTAGCACCCACCCCTCTAGCATAACCATGCCTGGAAAAAAAAAACAAACAAACATGACAGCCGCTGCAGTGGATCACAGCTACCTCTTGTGCGAACCACCGCAGGACAGATTGCTGGGCTTCGAAATACCTGCTTCAGTAAGACTGTTATCCATTTATCCTGTGAGGCCTGGCGCGGTGTGAATTGGGATACTCCAGAAAGTCACAGGTCAGAGTGTTAAGTGCCAACCCCAGCCCTCATCATCGTTCTGATGCCTTAGAATCTGTGGGGAGCCAGAGAGCCCTTTTGTTCCTTTGTGATGATAGCTTGTGCTTCTGGCTGCTCAGGTGAGTTCATCCTGGATATTTGCACTTAGAAATTGCATAAGACCTTCAGACTCTCAAAAGAGAATAAATCGTTTTAGCAGGAATTTGTGCCCTGGTAGCCAGGAACTGGTGAAATCACAGTTGTGAGAAATGTAGCAGGCTGCAGAGGGACTGATCTAAGAATTCCAAGGTGGTGTCTCCAGCCTGAGTTAAAATGCTGAGTTAAAATGTTGGCTTTGAATATCATGGTTTTCCTACTTTGTCATGGTGGGGTCTGGGCCCAGACATCAAACCCAAGAGAATGATGTATTTTGTTGATTCACTGAGTGACTGGACCTGGCAACAAGGAAGACTACACCATAGTTATCATCATTAGAGGCTTGTTTGTTTTTTCACCTTTTTTTATTATTATTTATTCTATTACAGTTGTCCCAATTTTTCCTCCTTTACCCTCCTCCACCCAGCACACCCCTTCTCCTATAGTCCATCCCCACATAGTTGTCCATGTATGTGGGTTGTTCATACATGTTCTTTGACTAAACCTTTCCCCTTCTTTCCACCATTTCTCCCTCCCCCCCCCCGACCCCCGGCAGCTGTCGGTCTGTTCCATGTTTCCATGTCTCTGGTTCTGTTTTGTTTATTTGATTCCTCTCGTAAGTGACATCATATGGTATTCGTTTTTCACCAACTGGCTTATTCCACTAGCATAATAGTCTCCAGTTCTACCCATGCTATTGCAAAACATAGGAATTCTTACTTCTTTCTGTTGCATAGTATCCCATTGTATAAATCTACCCCAGTTTTTTAATCGATTCATCTACTGATGAGCACTTAGGCTATTTCTACCACTTGGTTATCGTAAATAGCATTGCTATGAACATAGAGGTGTGTAAGTTATTTTGATTAGGTGATTCAGGATTCTTAGGGTATATTCCCTGCAATGGAATCGCTGGGTCAAAAGGCAGTTTCATTTTTAATTTTTTTAGGAAATTCCATACTGTTTTCCACAGTGCCTATACCAGTCTGCATTCCCACCAACAGTGCAGTACGGTTCCCTTTTCTCCACAATCTCGCCAGCACTTGTTGTTTGTTGATTTTGATAATGGCCATTCTGACAGGTGTGAGGTGCTATCTCATTGGGGTTTTAATGTGCATCTCTCTGATGGCCAGTGATGCTGAGCATCCTTGCATATGTCTCTTGGCCCTCTGTATGTCCTCCTTGGACAAGTGTCTATTCAAGTCCTTTGCTCATTTTTTAACTGGGTTTGTCTTCACGGAGTGGAGTGGTGTGAGTTTTTTATATATTTTGGAGATGAAACCCTTGTCCATTGTATCATTGGCAAATATGTTCTCCCACATGATTCCCTTTCTATTTTGATAATGGTTTCTTTAGCCATGCAGAAGCTTTTTAATTTGATATAGTCCTGTTTGTTTATTTTTCCTTTATTCCCTTTGCCCTAAAAGATATATTGCAAAAATATTGCTACATGGGATATCTGAAATTTTTGTTGTTGTTGTTGTTGTTGTCATTGCTCTAGTGGTGGGATTTTTTTTCTTAGCTTCCCTTTCTGGTAGTTCCTGGATGGTGTACAAAAATGCCATCGATTCTGAATATTGACTTTGTATCTCACTACTTTGCTGAAATCACCTGTTAGGTAGTTTTTTGGTGGAGTCTGTAGGGTTTTCTATGTGCATGATCATGTGCACATAGTGACACTGCAAATAATGCAAATAGTGACAGTTTTACTTCCTCCTTTACATTTCGGGTGCCTTTTATTTCTTCTTTTCGTCTGGTTACTGTGGCTGGGACATCCAGTACTATGTTGAATAAGAGTGGTGAAAGCGGACACTATTGTCTTGTTCCTGATCTTCAGGGAAACGCTTTTATTTTTTGCCCATTGGCAGTAGACATTGGCAGTAGGTTTCTCATATATGGCCTTTATTGTATTGAGCGGTGCTCCCTCTATTCCCACTTTGCTAAATGTTTTTATCATAAACAGGTGCTGGATTTTATCAAATGCTTTTTCAGGATCTATTGATATGATTGTGTGATTTTTGTCTTTCATTTGGTTTATGTAATGTTATCACATTTATTGATTTGCAAATACTATATCATCCTTGTATCCCTAGAGTAAATCCCATGTGATCATGGTATATGATTGTTTAATGTATTGTTGCATCTGGTTTGCTCGTATTTTGTTGAGCATTTTAGCATCTATGTTGATCAGAAGTATTGGCCTGTAACTTTCTTTTGTTGTTGTGTCTTCACCTGGTTTGGGGATTATGATGATGCTGGCCTCGTAAAAGAATTTGGGAGCCTTCCCTCTACTTGAATGTTTTGGAATAGGTTGAGATGGATAGGTGTTAATTTTTCTTTGACTATTTGGTAAAATTCTCCTGTGAAGCCATTTGGTCCAGGGCTTTTGTGTGCCAGTAGTCTTTTGATGACTGCTTCGATTTTGCTAGTTGTTATCGGTCCATTCAGGTTTTCTGCTTCCTCTTGATTGAATTTTGGAAGATTGTGCTATTTCACCCACATTGCTTAATTTTTGGCATATAGTTGTTCATAGTAATTTCTTTTTTATTTTGAGATTTATTTATTTATTTATGTATTTATTTACTTATTTATTTTTAGAGAGAGGGGAAGGGAAGGAGAAAGAGAAGGAGAGAAACATTGATGTGCCAGAGAAACATCTCAATCAGTAGCCTCTCACAAGATCCCAACTGGGGACCTGGCCCACAACCAAAGCGTCTACCCTGACCGGGAACTGAACCACCGACCTTTTGGTTCACAGGCTGGTGCTCAATTCACTGAGCCAAACCAGCTAGGACATATTTTACAGTCCTTTGTATTTGTGGTATCAGTTGTTACTTCTCGTCTTTCTTTTCTGATTTTATTTATTTAGATCCTCTCTCTTTTTCTCTTGGGGAAGTCTGGTTAACAGTTTGTCCATTTTGTTTATCTTTTCAAAGAATCAGCTCCTGGATTCACTGACCTTTTGAATTGTTATTTTAGTCTCTGTCATTTAATTCTGCTCTGATCTTGATTATTTCCTTCCTTCTGCTTGCTCTGGGCTTTATTTGGTGTCGCCCCTCTAGTCCTTTTAGATGTAGGGTTAGGTGGTTTATTTGAGATTTTTCTATGATTGTTAGAGAAGTCTCCATTGCAGAAGAATGAAGTTGCTGCTGGCTCTGAAATACCAGCATGCCTTCAAATTTGCACACCTGAGACATGTGTCTGAAGAGCAGAAGATTCTCAAGGTTTCTTGGGTTGCCCAAGTGGGGACTCCAGCCCCCTATAGATCAGGTTGGACTGTTTTCTCTTTATGGTGCAGCTGATTCATGAAGCAATTTCTGAAGTACAAGTAGTCATCACTTTGTAGAGTTCCAATATGCAGTATTGGATATATTCCAATTAATATCAAAACATGGTCATTTTCCTTAAAATTTTTATTCCCCTGATATCATTGCTCTAGTTATATATGTGATAATACGGTAAACTGAAGGTCGAAATTAAGTGATTGCCCCCTCAGCCCAGCCTGCCTGCAGGTCCACGGAGGAGGGCCCGAAGGGATATCAATGCTGGCGGCCAGGTGTCCCACAGTTTAGCTATTGGACACTTCTCCAGCGCAGCCCATTTCACTAAGTCTCCCTCAGAGGCTCAGGGCACAACCTCGATGTCCCTACAGGGAACACAGGTGCAAGGGCGGTGGAGGGGGTCAGGGGTGGGGCCCTCAGTGGGAGCATGAGGCTAGAAAAGCAGCCTGTGGGGGGTGGGTCCCCAGCCGCCTGCTCCCCCAGGGATCCGTTCACATGGTGAGGGGCCAGCACACTCACGGCTGCCATAGGGCCCTCCTGGCCAGGCCCACTGGGAACTGTGGACAGACGGTGGGGTGGGACTGGAGTGTACAATGACTCTCAAGAATGGAGATGTTCAGAATGTCAGAATGTCAGTGGGATAATATGGAAACCAAAATTGAGTATGTATTTGGAGATATTTCAAAATAATTCACTTCCAAAGCCACCTGAGAAAAAAGAGTTGTGCTTTTCTTGCTGAATGAGTCAGCCTCAAGACTGATGTCTTATACTCTGTGCACTCTTCCATGTTCAAAAGAATATAAAGCCCTGGCTGGTGTGGCTCAGTGGATTGAGAGCCAGACTGCAAAGCAAAGGGTCATGTGTTTGATTCCTAGTCAGGGCACATGCCTGGGTTGCAGGCCAGGTCCCCAGTAGGGGGAACATAAGAGGCAACCACACATTGTTTCTTTCCCCCTCTCTCTCCTTTTCCCTCTCTCTAAAAATAAATAAAATGTTTTTTTAAAAGAATATAAAGTATTCCTGTTTTCTATGGTTTTTATTCAGTGGCTTTTGATTGCTACAGGGATATAAAAATATAGTGATAAGTAAACTCAACAAAAGAGTAAGTCAAAAACATTAAAGACTTCAAGTTTCTTTGACTTTTGAGGAACTTTTGAGTTAGCCTCAAGTTCACTTCAGGGCAGTAGAGCTGATTTTGTGGGTGCAGGGCACAGCAGCAGGGAGAAATCTTTTTCGAGGGGAGAGATGGAAGCCCCGCCATCCTGCCCCAAGGATCTGCAGGTGATCGATAAGCAGAATCCTTCACCTGACAGGCACAGATTCCAGCAGCACTCCTGGTCCATTGCGGTGCTCAATGCTAAACTTGCTGGGGAGATGGACAGTGTCACTGGAGCGAACCTCCCGCCAGACTCATATATATGCCATCCCTGTGTGGCCAAGGCACGTGACCTGCAGCCTGGAACTCAATGTCGCCCCAGGCTACCAAACACATGCAGACAGAACCTGCTCTTTGACAGTCTTCAAAATCCCTCAGTTTTGAGATCTTAGTCCAGAATCTGGTAAAGGGGATTTTCCTCATATAGTATATGGACCAGCTACATGTAAGGGAGATAAAATAAAGAAAATTTGCCTCCACAGGCAAACAGGGGACTTGACTGTAGTCAAGGAAATTTTTTTCCAACAGAAAATTATTAAATACTGGGGTCCATTAATCTATGAAATTTCCTATAGGCATTTGAAACTTTTGTTTCGTGCCCTGCCTGATGTGGCTCAGTGTATTCAGCGCTGGCCTGTGAATCAAAGGGTCGCTGGTTTGATTCCCAGTCAGGTCTCATACCTGGGTTTCGGGCCAGGTCTCCAGTAGGTAGTGCTCAAGAGGCAACCACACCTTGATGTTCCTCTCTTTGTCCTTTCTCCTCTGTCTGAAAATAAATAAATAAATAATTTTTAAAAACTTTTGTTTAATCAGTTAAGTTTGGTATTGCCTGAAGCCTTCTAGTAAGATAAAATTAAATTGTTTATCAAAGGAAATGTTAAAATAGCTCTGCAAAGCCTTATAAAGATATTTTATGTTCTCAAGACTATGATCTTTATTAAGATGGGCTGTGACTAATAGCCTATAAAAGCCTCATCTGTTTTTACAAAGGTGAATTGGCAGGCTAGCTGCACGTATATCCAGTGTAAAGCCAGATCTACAGAGTTGCTTAATGTCTATGAATAGATGATGGTTGTTAAATTTAATGTCAGGGTAGTATATTGTAAAAGCTGAACTTATATCTCCCCATCGAAAATTATGTGCACTATTGTAACTGGATGGTCTAAAACTGTTCAAGAATTTATTTGTTCAGTTGCCAGAGTTTCTGTTTAATTTTGGTTGTTACTTCTTGGACATCCTTGAATTTTCCAGAAAGTTGGAACAACATTAAAACAGTTTTTCAGGAACAACTATAAAGGACACATGGACAAAACCAAGGGGGGGTGGTGTTGGAAGCAGGGGAGGGAGGTGGGGATGGCTGGGTTAGGGGGTAAATGCAGATAACTGTACTTGAACAACAATAAAATAATTTAAAATAATAATAAAACATAGTTTTAGTCACCAGGTGTTATTCGTGGTCTTTGCATTCAGTTTAATTTTGTTTTCTTTTAGTTCTGAACAAGACAAAGAAGAGTGGATCAAGGTAAACCTTATTTCTGTTTTTATTTTCTGTTTCTTGGTAACTTCTGTCTGTGTACACAAAATGTGCAGATGTTGTGTTGTGCACATGTAGTCATCGGCTCAAGGTCATTTCATTGTTAAGGTGATTCCCATCATAGATATTTGTTTAATAAAGTTTTTTCATTAATATGCATGTGATACTTTAATGCGTGCTTTGAATTTTATTTACACTTTAGGCCCTTCAAGAGACTATCGATGCTTTCCATCAGAGGCATGAAACCTTCAGAAATGCGATTGCAAAGGATAATGACAGTCAATCAGAGGTTTCTGTAAGTTGAATTAAATTCTTAACTTTAAGCTCTTTGCTATTTGCATTTACAAAGTATCTCTCTGGTCATTTTGTTTGCCAGCCTCTTGCCTTCTCATGACCAAACTGGCTATTTAGACAGACTCTCATTCCTTCTTAGATGAAGTTAATAGTCAGTGTCTTTTTTACACTGCTTAAACTTCTTTGAACTTTTTACTTTGCTCAGCCAGAACATGGTGTGAGCAATGTTGTTAAGTGCTTTTTAGGAAGAAAGGAAGAGGGGGAGGGAAGGAAGAAGGGAGGGAGGGAGAAAGGAAGGGGCAGTTTGTTCCGTTAAAATTGAATCTCTTTTTCCTTTTCAGACTGCTGAGCTAGGGAAAAGAGCCCCACGATGGATCCGAGATAATGAAGTAACGATGTGTATGAAGTGCAAAGAGTCTTTCAATGCGCTGACAAGGAGAAGGCACCATTGTAGAGCGTGTGGACATGTAAGTGGGATTTCTTGGTCATTAAGGTTGCAGGTATAGGTACTATGAAGTCATCAAGTCGGAAAAGACCCAAACACTCATTCAGTAAAGCACTTCACTGACAAACTTATTTTAGTGACAAGTATGTACTAAGCACTGTGCTGGGGCCTGGAGGGAAAAAGTGGTGGATACCCAGCTTCATGTAGCTTACGTTCTAATGGAGAAGATAGACCAATGTCAGGTCAGTGGACGGATAAGCATTTTGAATTACTGTAAATGCAGCAAGGAGGCAATCGAGCAGTTTAAAATGGAGAACAAAGGTAAGGAAGGAAGATTTGGAACTGCTTTCAGTTAGAAAAATGAAGACCTATCTGAAGGGTCCATATTTCAGCAGACACCTAAATGGTGAGGAGGGGCTGACCCTGGGGAGGGAGGTGGGGAGTGCATCCAGGCAGTGAGAGGCTGCGTGACCCAAGCCCTGAGGCAGGCGAGAGCTTGGTCTTTTCCCCGAGACTGCCAAAAGGTCATGTGCAGTAAGGCGAAGTGTAGCAGAAAAAATAATTAGAGGAATAGTAACCAAAAGAGTGGATGGCTTTGAGGAAATAGGACTTGTTAGCGTAAGTGGCAGTTCAGGCTTTTGGTGAAGAGAGGGAAACCTCCCTCCGTTGTAACGGAAAGGAAGAACGAGGGTGGCTTGGCGGCAGTTGTGGGCGTGTGTGATCTGGTGGTGGGAAAGGAAGGAACGTAGGGCCGGGGACAGGTGTCTGTCTGTCTGCAGAGTATGAGAAAATGTCATCAGCTGACAGTGCAGGGGAAGGAACAAAGGTGGGGAAGATTTGAGAAAGAGGCCTAAGTATCAAATAGATATCTCTGGGCAGGGAAAAATGAGCCTGTCAGAGGAACACAGGCGGAGTGCTGGGTGCCCAGTAGAGGTTTATGGTTGTGAATATAGAAGGATACGCTAGTCCATTTAATGGCAGTGATATTTCTCTAACAAAACTCAGCAACTAAAGCCAGAGAAGGCACAAAACAGGGTTTCAGCAATGGAGTTGTTTCATATGGAAAGAATGATGAGGGACCATGCATGAAGTGAAGCTGGAGAGAGGTAGCAGCAGGTTTTGGAGGGCCTTGTAAACCCAGGTGAAGATTATATACTTTCTTCTAAGAAACTACAAATAAACAGAGAAGGGTATGCATTGCAGTGTAATGATGTAATATATTATTAGTGTGCTTCATTGAAACAATTCTTTTTTTTTTTAAGACTTTATTTATTTATTTTTGGAGAGAAGGGAAGAGAGGGAGAAAGAGGGAGAGAAACATCAATGTGTGAGAGAGACATTGATCGGTTGCCTCTCGCACACTCCCAGCTGGGGACCTAGTCTGCAACCCAGGCATGTGCTTTGACCAGGAATCAAACCTTCAGCCTTTCAGTTTGCTGGACGATGCCCAGCCCACTGAGCCACACTGGTCAGGGCAGCAGTTCTTGCTGATAGCTCTTTTAGTTTCTTGTCACTATAGATTTATTCTTCCTCTTTTCCTAAATTGCGGCTCACCAAGACAGGTTTGTAGTCAAATTTAAATTGATAGCAAACATCTTCCCTGCCTCACCCCCACCAGGTAAGACTTTTTAAAGTCTGTCATTGAGTTTACTTGAGGTGATTCTAGGTACTGACATACTTGGTTCAACAAACAAAAATGTGTCTGAATGTGGATCATCAAAATACTATGATATGATTTAAAAATAAAACATTAGTTAATTGGAATTTACAGATATAAACATGTCTTATTCTAAATCCTAGTAATTTCATTGTAATTATGAGAAAACTGAATATTTACTATGAAACTTTGTACACTGTGAACCTAAATCAAAAGTTTTACTAATATTTATATAAATAAAGTTTCTTCACTATGAATTGGGAAAAAAATTGTTTCTAGAAGGAACAAGGTAATTTTTTCAAGTGGAAGTTTTCTTTTTAAATAAAAATTACCCTGTAGTAATTAGGAAAAAATATCATTCACTAAGAAATAACATGTATTTTCATTATAGTCATTCATTCCTTGGCATTCTATAAATGCTTCTTGTGAGCTGGTGAGCAAAATATACAAGGACAGTCTCAAAGAGCTTACAGCCTAGTCAGGGCAACAAACGTCGATCAAATAATCACACAAGTGTACGATTAGGACCTGTAGTCAGTATATGAAAAAGAGCACAGGGAACATCAGTAGCACAGTGACAAGAGACATGCTCTATTCTGGAAGTCGGAGGAGTCTTCCTTAAAGAAATGAAATTTTGACTCAGCATCTGAAGGACGAACAACGGTTGACTCATGGAGCAGAGATGAGGAGGGAGGGAGCATAGCACTTTGGGGGCCATAGAAGCCAGTGCCACCGAAGAAGCAGAGGGTAAGATGGGAGGATCGTGCAGAGTATGTGGGCCACGGTTAAGAATGTGTTCATTATCCAACAGCAAAGGGAAGGCACGGGGTTTTAAATAGAGGAGAAACATATCCAATTATTATTTTTAAGAGATTGTCTGGTGTTGTTTGAAAAATAGCTCAGAGGGATGTAGGAGTAGAGGCCTGGAGGCCAGCCAGTCAGATTGCTACGAGAAGGTTATAATTGTCCAAACTAGGACACTGATATCTCTTGAACTTGGGTGATTACAAAGAAGATGCAGAAAAATGGACAGATGGAAAAACTACCTAGGAGGTAAAAACCAGTTGGACTTTGTTATATGATGACTCTGTGGGGTGAGCTATAGAGAGGAGTTGGGAGTGATCCTGGGCTTATGACCTGCTGTGACTGGTTAGATGGCTGTGCTATCTCCTGGGATAGGGGGCACAAGGGGGGTGCAGATTGGGATGGGGTCGGGGTGAAGAAGGAGAGCGCTGAGGGCAGGGTAGGTCACTAGTTCATTCTGGGAAGATATTGAGGAGACCTCCAGAGGTGGGAAGAGGAAAGGTCTGGATCACACCTTTGAAGATCTCCTGCCTTTCGCGGTCAGAAAGAAAAGGGCGGACAAGCATAGCCCGTCACAAACGGCGTTGTAAGACTATGGCAAATAGTCCTCATGTTTATGGGCATATTCTTAGCATCATAAAAATTTGCTTTTTATATATAACTCTTTCTCATTTATGATCATTATAAATGTTTATGGCTTAAATCTTGTTATTCTCTCAGTGTGATTATTCACTCTTACCTTTTCTCCTTTGAGGTGGTTTGTTGGAAGTGTTCTGATTATAAAGCTCAGCTGGAGTATGATGGCGGGAAATTGAGCAAAGTTTGTAAAGACTGTTATCAGATAATAAGTGGATTCACAGACAATGAAGAAAAGAAAAGAAGAGGAATTTTAGAGGTATGAAATAGTAAATGTTGGATGTCTCTTAAATTTTTACCTGAGAAACAGATGTTTTTCAACCCTGAAGAATAAAAATAACACATTTGTTGTTTCTCTTAGTATTTAACAATTTGGAGAATGATGAGCAAGTCATACTTTTATTCTGTATTGCTGGATTTTGAAATCATGTTCAGTTTTAAAGAAATAAGAGGGGCAGTGTTCTGCATTTGAGAGTGAATATATTGACTTAGTTAAAGTAGCTATTGTTAAATATTAGAGTATTAATTGTTATTTTTTCTAATGCTCAAATTATTATTATGTATTTTTAATAGGAAAGTTTTTCTCTCAGTTTCATCATACTAGCTTTGAAAAGCCACTGCACAAAATCATTAAAATTTAGATTGAAGTGTTACTTTATTACCTGAAGACTCTTTCAACTCATGGCAGTAAAAGTATCATTTAATAGACATGACAGTAATCTTATAACTGCATTGAAATATTATTGAAATATCTCACAAGTAAGTTTGACTCATGTTTTAGAATACACTCAGACCCCCAAGCTTGGGAACTATATAATGCACTTGTGTCTGAAATGAGGTTCACACCCAAAGATATAATCAGGCCTTTGTGGCAAAAAGTTTAAGATAGCCCGGAAGGTCTGTAAAGAATAGGCTCAAGATTAAAAGTCATAGACATGCTTGATCTATTGGCATTTCTATGGCTTATTAAGACTCAACGAGTATTCATCAAACATTTACACTGTGTAAGTAAGTGTACAAAGGTCTTTTCGAGTAACAGGAAAAGGATCATGAACTTCAAGGTTTATTTATGGTTAACGTGGAGGTCTGCAAACTAAAAGTGTAACTCTGAATCTAGGGTATGGCTGTCACTTGCGTGGCAGACGGAAGTAGACAGAAATGGGGCTTCCTCAGGTGGGGGGGAGGAAATGCTTCCCTGTCTGCCAAGAATGCAGGCCCAGCACTCAGCAGCAGCAGCTGCCGCGACCGAGTTAGTATGATGACTTGTTGTAGGGGTGAGTTTCAGGCTGCATCTGTGAACTGAAAATCTCCAGGCAGTTTACTAGAAAAACCTGTACTTGGGGAGGGGGGAATCATTTACTTAACTAGGTACACACGTGCAACATTTGAAACTTGCTTTGTGCCCACCAGTATTGTACGTGCTAGAGCAAGAGTCAGCAAACGTTTTCTGTAAAGGGCCAGAGAAAAACTATCTTAATTTTTGCAGGCCAAGAAGTAGCACTGAGAATATTACTTCTATAAGAAGAAAGAAAACTAATTTTCAGAAATTTTTATTGACAAAATTTAAAATATAATAATTTAGTATAATTTTTTTAAATGTGATATTAAGAAGAATAGAATTCTTTAGAGGGGGAAGGGAAGGTAGCAAGTCTCTTAACTGAAGTCCAAAGTTAGTGTTCCCTACTATGAAATTGATTTTAAATGTTGATCTGTAGAAGCTTTCCTTTCATAGGCAGTACACGCTCACAGGCCGGACAGCGCGGGGGTGGGGGGGCGGTTTGCTGGTGGGCTGTGGTTTGCCAGCCAGCACCTTGTGAGCTCTCTGTGCCCCGAAGGGCTCGTTTTATTTCCACAGCATCACAGCTCAGTATTTTTGGAAAACACACAGTCGTGTACTTGAGTATCATCACAAAGTAAATTGCTATGAAAGTTTCTCAGTGTTTACTCTCACTTTCTGTGTTTCTCTTGAACCAGTAACAAAACAGTTTGCACACCAGCACTGTTGAATGGACGGCACTGAGGATTTGGTGCTTTCCCTACTGTGTGTAGTAAAAACCTTTATTTGGTCAAATGGTTTTGTTTGCTCTTTAGCCAGTGGTTATATATTTGGAAGCAAAGCAGAAAATTGTAAATGGCTCTACAAACAGTGAATGCAGTTTTTAGAACTTGAGTTATCTCAGGTTCCAGAACAAAGAAGATTGGTCAGTATATGCGTTTTTGTTACTGCATTCTGCCATGGTTGAAGTTGGTACGTGTTGCAGTTAAAAGTTTAGGCTTTGGACTCAGACTCAAATCCCAGCATGCCAGTTCATAAATGGATGATATTGTGAAAGCTGCTTTATCTCTGAACTTCAGATAATGAAAGTCCTAACTTTTTGGTGTTGGTGTGAGGATTAAATGAAATAATATATTTCTTAGTGAGTTAAGGAAAGTGCCTGCATAGTAAGCAGTTAATACATGTTTAACTTTATTTAAATTCAAGGTCTGGTAATACAGAGAGTTAAAATTGACTGAAATATTTTTCCATGCTAATAATAGGTCTAGATGAGTGTTTCAATAATAATTGCAGATGAGCCTCTTAGGTGTTCCCAGGAGACATTTTATATAAACACACCGTATTTAATAAATATTGCCTTAAGTTGAATTACTTCTCTCGTTCTCACTCTCTGACTCTCGCTCTTTCTTTCCATTATATTTTTCTAGATCGAAGCAGCAGAAGTATCTGGAAACAGCGTGGTGTGCAGCTTTCTTCAGTATATGGAGAAGTCCAAGCCCTGGCAGAAAGCGTGGTGTGTGATCCCCAAACAAGACCCGCTCGTGCTGTACATGTACGGTGCGCCCCAGGTGTGTAAACCGTGTCCCTCTGCAGGGACAGTGGTCACAGGGACAGAGGGAGGCGAGTGGACACTGAACTCACAATTCTCTTATCACTCCTTGATAGAACAAGAGAGCTCAGTTTCACCGTTTCATTATAACTGGGAAAATAATAAGTAACTAAAATTAAAGTTTACCGAAACTGGTGGATTCCTTTAACAGCCAACAATTTCTTCACCCCGTGGGTCAGTTCTCTCCTTCTCTTGTTCCTGTTCGGTGGGTTTACAAAAAAGCGAGCTGATTAGGAAGTGGCATCGGGAGAAGGGGGTGAAGCAGGGGGAGAGGCAGGAAGAAGAAGGAGCCTTTTTAATGATAGGAAATCATAGTAAGCCTTTCTGCCTCCCCACTTGAATGGAGGGATACTGAAGGAAAGAAATTTAGAGGAAGGGGAATTTAAACCAACTTTAGATTAACAGTATCAAGTAACAGTTGTTGGAGAACTGGGTATGCAGGGATCTGAGATAAATCTGTGGGAACGACAGACATGCAGGTTTAGCTTCTAACCAGAGCAGCACCGGGAGCTATGGGCTGTATAATGCTTAAAAAAACAAAGAGCAATTAAACCAATTATCCATTTACCCAGAAATGCATAAAATTTTAAATGTTGTAGTTTAGCTTATATCTACATGAAGGGATAGTAAAACATCTATATTTAGTGTCTATAGTTTTAGAAATAGATTTAAGCTCTGGCCACTGTGGCTTGATTGGAGTGTCATTCCAGAACCAAAAGGTTGCGGGTTCAATTCCTGGTCAGGCGACATGCCTAGGTTACGGGTTTGATCCCTTGTCCAGGCACATATGGGAGGCAACCAATTGGAGCTTCTCTTTTGAATCAATGTTTCTGTTTCTCCCTTCCTCTTTCTCTAAACACAGTGAAAAAATGACCTCACGTGAGGATGAAAGTTTTTTTTTTAAAGTAGACTTAAAATGCTAAGATATGTATTTTATTCTATGCCATGGTTTTTCCTACAACTTTTTCCTGTCTATAAATAAATTGATGCATAAATGAATGAAACACCAAATTAAATTGTTAATGAAAGAATCATTAACATTTGCTGGCTTTATACAGTAAGATGACTCTTCTTTTCTTCCCTTTTTCACTGAATAAAAAAGAGCTGAGGAGGCTCCTTCATAGAGAGGAAATATTGGGTCAGTGAATCTTAGCTGATTTGGGTGTCACTCTCATTCACTAATTCATTCAGTCCACATTATCAGTGGCCTCATGTACAGGCGCCGTGCTATTGCTGGATCACATCTTTGACCATGGAGAGTCACAGTACGAGTCTGTGTGCAGCGGTGGTAGGAAAAGCGGTTTATTTAGTAGGAGCCAGATCACAAAGGGACATGTGGAGCATGCTGATACATCTCACACTCATATGCACTATGTTATTTCTCTAGGATGTCAGAGCCCAGGCCACCATTCCGCTCCTGGGCTACATTGTGGACGACATGCCGAGGAGCGCAGACCTGCCACACAGTTTCAAACTGACCCAGTCCAAGTCTGTGCACAGCTTTGCTGCAGACAGTGAGGAACTGAAACAGAAGTGGCTGAAAATCATCTTTCTAGCTGTCACAGGTGAGACGCCAGAGGGTCCTAACGAGCATTCAGCTACCTTGGACGATCATCCTGAACCTAAATAAAAATCAGAATGCTGAACTCCAGTACTAGCCTGTGTGGGGGTCTCAAGATTCACAGCTCAAGACATTCCCAGCTCTTCTTACTCATCTCTTAGCACTTTATGTTGAAAAAGAGGCTCATAAAGGTATCTGTTAGGGGACTATTTTCCTTATGTTTCCCTGGTGAAATTAATGTGCAGAGCCATTCTGCCAGTAAAAGTTGGAAATAATGTGAAAATGGAGCATTTTTTAAATGAGCTATTTCTTGAATATGTACTTTTGTCTTGGAGAAAATAATATTAAGTGATTATATCACTATCAGGTTAGAATAGGCTACTGTCTATTAAGAAATCTTTTAATGTCTTCTCTTTCACATGTAGGACTTGTAACAGTTTGAAAGATATACCTCCATGTTGCCAAAATAGATCCATAGTTAAAAAAGTTACAAGTACAATTTAGGCTATTATATTAACTTATTTAATTTAGTTTATAAAACTGAAGCTGCATAAATAACGTATGTCCTTTTAAAGCAAAAGAAAAAGGGCAGATTGTTGGGGTTCAAACTTTTGACTTAAGAAGAAGTAATACTTGTTTTTGTAGAAATACTCTGAAGAATAAAATATCTTAAGTATATAGTGATTATGTATATATAGTATTAAATATAAATATATATACTATACATGCTTTTCTCTTCAGATTTAGGTTCATATTTGTCTCTAATTTATTTTTACAATATAAAGCATGTTTATCTTGGAATTGGACAGTGTTCTAAAATTAAATGTTTTTTGGTGATTTATGTTTAACTGATTGACATCTAAGGGTATTGGTATTTTTATAATAAGAAACAGCAGTAATTTATGTGGCATGGGATATATTAGTGAATTCCAACCATATTTTTAAAGTATTATTGTTTTGTTCTGTGCCTATTTAAAACAGTGCCTCTCTTTGAAGGTGCTAATAATTTCTATTTAAATACAAGGTGAGGGTTTAAATAATGCTTCAGTCTTGCTCATTCTGAGAAAAAGTGTGTTTTGGTCACTGGGACGGTCGAAGTCATACAGGTTATGATACCTTTTATAATGCTCTAATTGTTCCAACGGTTACTATCAGCATGAACAAATATTTTCTCAAAACCCTGAATTGTACAAGATACCTGACCTTCCGCAGGACTGGGACACCTGGAAACTACACTTCCTGCACTGCTCTTCATTTCCATAAGACTGTTAAGCATGGTTAAATGAGGACTGTATGTAACTAACACTTAAGATAACTGTGTGGGCCTGTCCCTTTGTCAGATGTGAAACAAAATTCATCTGTGATAACCTGTTTGGGGGGCTGGATAGACATTAAAGGAAGTTTATGCTCAACTCTTTAAACCTCACCAGCGAAGAGCAGGGGAAACACAATGTTGAAAAGCAATGCTTTACGGTAGGTTTGGGAGGCGGGGGTCCAAGATAATTGAAGAGGGTCTGAGCATTCTTTTCTCATTTATCCTTCTGGGGAATCTTAATAGACAAAATGTAATTCCTTGTGTTGAAGGCTGCTCTTCATTATATTGTAGTTATGACAAAAGTCTCCCATTAAGTTGGCTATTTAACTTAATCCTTTTCTCAAATTAGATCTGGGTGTTGTTGTTTTTTTCCCCCATTAACCCTGTTATATCCCAAATATCATCACTTCGAATGCATCAGTCTAGAAATCCACAAGAATGACCTCCCTGTCTTCTGCCTTTGGGGATTACACCTTAAATGTAGCATAGCTTCACTCAGAATTCGAGATTCTCACTCTTTTACTTAGGTTCTCTAAAGAAAATTTGAAATAGCTCCTATTTCCACCCTCCCACCCCAAAGGAGCGGATGAATTGGTTCTGGCCGACGTGGCTAGGTTGCCTTCCTCCATAAAAGGAATACCAGCTGTGATCACTTCCATTAAACCAAAAACTTGGAGCCAAAAAGAGATAAAGGCAACTTCTCCTATTAAATCAGGGACAGACTTAGAACTATTTTATGTTGCTTCTCTTTTCTAGTTGCCCGCCGTGTGTGTGTGTGTGTGTGTGTGTGTGTGTGTGTGTGTACACAACATTGTGTTCATGGGTGGTTACTGAGAAGGTTAAACTGTAGCTATAGATGATGCTTTGGTTTTCTTACTCTCAAGAAGAGAGAAGCAATAAAAATGTAGAAGGATTATCAGGGGAAGATGACTTTTGTTAATGTGGATAGATCAGTGGAAATGTAAGGGCCAATTAGAAGATTTCTGGGCCAGATTATTTCTGAAAACTGTGTTGAACAGCAGGAAGACTGTACTTTCCGGATCAGTAAGTTCCTCTCCTGCAGTGGAAGTAACTCGGACAGTGTGGGCTCAGTAAATATCTGTGCTATTTAATTATTGAGAGAACACTCATGAAGAGAATATTTATTATTATGCTCTTAATACCATCTCTAATTTGATTAAAATATTATCTCTAATTATCTCTAATTTAGTCAATTCTATTATAAGAAGGGAATTTCTGATTCTCCAGGTACCATCTTCACACCTCACCCCATGTACCTGATCAGCTGAGCACAAATGGAAGCAGCCTCACCTGTTTTTTTGTTAGAGTCATGGATGCTTTTCTTTGGAGAAGGGCAAAGGCATACTCTCAGCCAGCCAGCCATTTAGTAAGCACTCAGCTAAACCCAAACCCTCAAAGCATGACTGGTGACAGGAATAATCTCTGTCTTTTGCTTTCTGAGACACCTGAGCAGTCATGACAGACTGAACCTGAAAAAGTAATTGGTTGCTTGCCTATTAAAACCAACATTCCATGTGGGTCTTACTATCTGTTTTCTCTAATTTGGTGCTTTCCAAGTCATCTTTTCTTTAAAGTGCCCTTCCTCCAAATTAAAAAATATATACTTTTTTGCTAAAAACTGCTGTTCATGATAGAACATTCCAATTTTTTTAAATGTAAATTTTGCTTTACTGAACATCTACCCCACTTGGGATATTAAGTAGGAAATGTGGTGCAGACCGATCTCCAGGTTTTAATGATGAAAAAGCCACCAGCCACTTTTGTGATAATAGCATCTACACTGCTGTTGTGTATGTAAGCAATAAAACTCTTCAGGGTGTGTTTTTATACTGAAATTTTAATGTGAGTGCCCCTAGCCACAGGACATAGGGCATGAACTCCTAGAAGTAACAGTGTGACTCACTGCTCAGTATAGGGAGGAGAAAGTGTGTGAGGAGTGGGCATAAGTCCTTGGACTCAGATACCTGCTGGCAAGGATGGTGAGGAACACGAGAGCACACCTGCACTGCTTTATCAGCAGCCTTTCCTTTTACACGATGTTTAATGACACCCAGGTGGGTGCACTTACCTTCACTGTGTAAACTACCCCCATTTTTTAATACCCCTGTTTTTGAAAATTACTGAACTTTTGAAAGAACTAGCCTTTTAAATGTGCCCCATCCCCATCTATAGATATACATTGAATTTTTTTAAAAGAATACTTGCTGTGGTCCTAAAAAAAACAAAACAAAACTACAAACTTCATAGTGCTGCAGGGTTGTTAAGGATTCAGTAATGCCTTCTAAAAATCTTAGGTCAAAAATACTTCTGCGAGTTCACAATGTCTTTCTTTTTCTTGTCTACTTTGTGGAACAGGGTGTTTTATTCTCTTTAAATTTGAGATCTCATCTCTCTCTGTTCAAAGCCTTAAGTTCTTATTCTGAGCATATTGTCTGTGATAACTCTGATAATGATCTTTCTGGGCTGGATCCATCCTGAGGAAAAGGCACCAACAGGAGAAAATAAACTTCTAGGGAACAAGGGTCTTGTTTTTTGCAGTTATCTTTGCTATAATGCAGAACAGATTATAATGAAAATTTCCTACATCACATGATGTTTGTGTGAGTGAGTCTAAGGTTAAGCACATGGTATATATAAGCTAAAATTAATTCAAAGGGCAAGAATGTCTTAATGTTTTCATTCTTAAATTTTGTATTCTTTAAGAATGTATCACTATTAAAACTGTGGCTAACCAGGTCTTATTCTTAGGGCTGTATTGACATCTGTAGGTGGACCATATTTCTTTATTCTCATCCAGTTTTAGTTGTATCCAACTGCTTTTTATTTTCATATTACTATTTACTAGAGATTCTCCAGATTTGAAAAATATGTATATGATATATAAAGACCACTAGATCTACTTTTAAAACCCTCTCTGTGAATTTCTGAGTATATGTATATATGTAAAAATACTGTTGAATTCCAATTCTGTTTTTTCATAGAAATGAAATTTTTGTAGAAACTTTTTTCAGTTTGAATATTTTAACATAAATTATTCACATCGATTTATAGTGTAATTCATCCTTATTTATGCCCATAATCATGTCATGAGATGATAACGTTGCTTTTGTTACTGATAGGGTAGAGAGGAGTAAAATGAGGAACCAAAACACACAGGAATGAACAGAGAGGTGGACGGAAGGAGACTGCTGGTCTCCAGATCAGAGCACTGTGTGTTGAGATAAGAGTAAAATACTAAGCAGCAGAAGGGATATAAACTATAAGATATAAATCTATATAATTGTGCATTGGTGGGATTTATTGCACCCAGGCCTTTCACCTTGGCTTCTAAATTATATCATTAGTATCTTGTCATTATTTCCTTTTTCCTTTAGGCTTAAAAAAATAATTTCATTCTACTGGGTCATTTTTGGCACTGTTTACCGAGGTAAAAAATAAAATCCCTGTAAAATTCACCATAGTGTTTTACTTTCTGCACTGGATACGTGGCAGAGTGTAGTGTCTTTTTCGTGTTTTGAGATGAAAGAGCACATGACCTCGACAAGCTCGTTTTGAACTTGTTGGGTCCCTGAGTTATATGATGGTCATGCTTTTCTAAAATGCATCATAGATTGAATTAGTAAGATTAGGTAGAATTAGTGATGAATTAAATCAAGAAATTTCATTGTAGTGTATTTTAATAAGTGAGTACCAAATACATAGAGTGATATATATGTAGGTTTGGGGAGAGACATAATATTCTGTAGGGACCATTATGATGACAGAATTGCATCATATATTACACATTATATGGATGTTGGAATGTATCACTCGGGGGGGTCTCCCTTCATTAGCAATCATATCTGTATATAAAACTGTGTTTTGTTTTTATTTTACCAAACTAGCATTTCATTTTGTGAGTGACAGTTGAATGATATTTTTGAATAAGTGTTATCTGGGTTTTGAATTGTTGACTGATCACTTTGAAAAGGTATGTAAGATTTTAGAATTAACTCAAATGTGAAAAGTGTACACAAAAGTAATTTTTCTTTTCTAGGTGTATGAATGTAAAATACTTGCAGATAGTGTACATACTGTGTAACATATGTATATTTGGTCATAAAAGCAGAGAATCGGAAATGTAAAATTAAGCACTTTAATTCCTATTAAATATTAAACATTTGTATCTTGTAAATAAATACATCCTTAAATGAACTCTAAAGACTTGGATGTTATTTCATTCAGGATTATATATGTTCAGTTCCCAAATTTTGACTGGCTCACTGGTTGGCTCACCTCCCTTTCCCACAGTCAGATATGAAGCCTGGGGAATCTGTTAGAACAGAAGTCAGATCATGCTGCTTCTCTACCCCATTCCCTCTAGGGGCTCCCATTTCTCTCAGAGTCAAAGCCAAAGTCCTTTTTGTGGCTTCACAATATATTCCCCCCACCACCACCCTGTACATGTCTTCTTGCTTTTCCTAAACCAAGCCAGCTGCCCTCCAGCCTTACAGCACCCAGTCCTGTCTTTTCCCTCTTCTTGCAGCACTTCTTTTTTAAAAAAATTACTTATTTATTTTTAGGGAGGGAAGGGGGGGGGTGGGAGAGAGAGAGAGAGAGAAAGAGAGATATCAATGTACGGTTGCTGGGGGCCCGTGGCCTGTAACCCAGGCATGTGCCCTGACTGGGAATCGAACCTGCGACACTTTGGTTCGCAGCCCACGCTCAATCCACTGAGCTATGCCAGCCAGGGCATTTGCAGCACTTCTTCCCTAGAGGTCTGCATGATGAACGCCTCTGCCAATTGAAAGTCTTTGCTCAAATCTCAGCAAAAACCACGGTCTCATTTGACCATGCATGGTATCTTGGATTCCAACTGCCTCCACTAACAACATATCACTCCCATTCATCCTTAATCTGACTTCTTTTTTCCTCATAGCACTTAAAATCTTGTAACAGACTAAATAATTAGCTATTTCTATGTTTGTTTTTATTGTTTGTCTATACCTACTGGAACATAAGCTTCATAAAGGTAAGGATTTTTATCTGTTTTGATCACTGATGTCCCCAGTTCTCAGCATAGTGCCTGGCACATTGCAGGCATTCAATAAACACTGACTATAAAAGCCAGGTTATATAAAGGGGAAAAAAATAAACAGAACCTTTCAAAGCATCAGATTACTAGAGGTGCACACTTTTGGAATAGTGGCTAAGAAGAAAATAAAGCAACTTCGTATATAGCTAAATTATTTTAATAACAAAGCCAGATTCCTAATCAAGGGTTTAAGAACATAGTCAAAGATTTAAAAATCTTAATCTTTGCATGATGGATTCTTGCTGTTAAATAATCAATCCTAACCCACTATCACCACCATCAGCAGAGCACCTGGACGGTGAGGAAATTAGAGGCAGCTGGTCGCTGTTGAGAAAGAGTCAGGAACGCTGAGAGACAGGTCCTGAGGAAGTGGGCTGGCAGCACGGGCCTGGCCCAGGGTTTGGATAACGAGCACTTAGTTTGCAGTTCGCTCTCTTACAGAGGAAGTGATTCATGCATTGTTTTGGTTCTGTACTTAAGTAAAAACACAGCCATGTTGTTTCGTCTCAGTAAAGGAAATATTCTGTTTTTCTACAGTGAAGATGGGACCTCAGAGTCCATTATGTGGTATTTGCACAAGAAACAGTATTTTTAGATGGTCATTTAAATATATCGCTATTATCCACTGAACAAAGCTCTGAGCTGCTGATTATGGGAGCTGATTGTCTAGGTGAAGTCCAAGTCTGTGGGTAAAAAATCCTGCAATGCTACTTCTTGAGGCTTTGGGTTGACTTCAGGGCTTGAGTTCACTTCCTACCAAAGAGTGTGGCTGGGGCTCGGGCAGGGATGTAAAATAATTGTAAAAGCCTGATTAGTAACTTACAACATTTTAATTCTGCTAAAAGTCATGTTAAAATGCATGAGGGTTTTTTTTTAAATCCAGAGACACAAATTACTCCAAAATCAGGGAGCTTCCAAACCTATCTCTCCAGTAAACCAGTAAGTGGAGCAGTGAACCTGGGCACATCATTTTACCTCTCTGAGCCCTTGTTTCCTTACTTGTAAAATATTGTTGGACTAAAATTTAAAGTGATGAAAATTGCTAACGTCCCTTCAAGCTCCAGGTATGTGAGATTCTTATTGTTTATATTTTTGTTTTTCATTACTCCCCTAATTCTTCTTGTTTTTTGGAAAACTCGTATTTGGAATCATATACAAGTATAATTTCATTATATATATATAAATATGCATAGTCACTTCTTTTTCTAAATGTTCTCCAAGTGCTTCCTTAATATAGCTCTGTGTGGAGAGTCTTCTTTCCTTGCTGTTCATCTGCAAGGTTTTTATCTCTCAGCCCAAGCCTGTGGTCCCCAGTGGATGCTGTGAGTACAAATAAAGTAGCCAGTGGGCTCAGCATTAGGCTGTTACACATAAAAAATCCCCTCTCCAAGAGTCAAGTTTTTCTTCAGGCAGAGTGGCTGGGCTGGTTGTTGGATAAGGCATTCTAAGTGCTGCACTTAGGCACCAAGGAGGCATTTGTTGAGGCCATCTCTGCCCGGGCTGCATTCCAAGACTTGGAGTCTGATTCCTAACCCCCAGCACTCGTATTGGTACCATCTATCTGTAAAAAGGCCAGAGTTCGGCCTGTAACTTGACTTCTCTATGATTAACAAATGAACAAAATTGAAAGACAAAAATGCATAGAGCTCTTGCAAATGAATATTTTAAAATAATGCGATGGAAAAAATAGTCCAAGAATATGAATAGGTAATTCACAGAAAAAGAACTATAGAAGGCCAACATATTAAAAAGTTCACTCATGGTTGTTTTTTTTAACTTATTAAATAGAAAAACTAAAAATATTGATACTGTCCTAGGGTGGGCATGGGGAAATGAGTACTCCATTGTACTTTTGCCAGAACTATAAACCATCACACCTGTATCTATTTAGATTTTAAAGATGCATACTCTTTGTCTTAGTAGTTCCACTTCTGAGAAGCTACCACACTGAATTTCTAAGAAAAGTATAAATATATACATATGTAAGGACATTTTCTGCAACATTGCCTGTAATAAATTCGAAGTGAGGTATCATATAATCTTTATAGGAGAATACTATGCAGCTGTTTGAAAGAATATTTGGGGATTTTTATATATTGATACAGAAGATATATGGCAATGAGTGAATAAAATCTATAATGAAAGGGAGCTTTTTTCACTCTGTGATCTAATTTATGTTATATGTTGTGTCAGAACAGTGAAAAGTATGAACAGAAAGAAGCTACTAACAGTGCTTCCATTCTGGAGAGTGATCAGAGATGAGGAGCTTTTCATATTTTCTATTATTTATGTAATGATATTGTCAGGGACTGAATTGGGTCCCCCCTAAATTTATATGTTGAAGTCCTAATACCCAGTGTAACTGTATTTTGGGACAGGGATGTAAAGAGGTAATTCATGTTACCTGGTCCTAATCTGATAGGACTGGTGTCCTGTGGGAAGAGGAAGGGGCACCGGAGGGCTCTCCCCCGACATGTGCTCAGAGCAAAGGCAATGGGAGGAGTCAAGCGTTCAAGCTAGTAAGAAAGATCTTAACAGGAACCAACCTTGCTGGCTCCTTGATCTTGGACTTCCAGCCTCTAGAACTGTGAGAAAATAATGTCTGTTGCTTAGCTGCCCAGTCTGTGGCATCTTGTTATAACAGCATATGTAGCCTATTACAGATATGTAGAGATTTTTATACTCTTATTTTTAGATAGTCTTTGTTTGGAGAGACAACACCCCTTCCCTTTTTCTTTTCTTTTTTCTTTTTAGCAGATGCTTTAAAAAGCCCACTTCAGGAGCAAGCTGAACCCACAGAACAGGAGCTTTCCCAGTAATGTTAGTCTGCTCTACTAATGAGGATACTGAGCACCAACTGCTGCAACAGACCTCTAAATGTTAATGTCTCCACACCACAAAGATTTATTTTTTGCTCATTTTGCATTCTAACATGTTTGGCAGAGAACTCTATTCCGTGTAGAAACTCAGGGGCCCAAGCTAAGGGTGGATCATCTTGCTACCTCACTCAACTTGTGGCTTCAGAGTTTGCCAAGCTAGAGGAAGGGAGGCAGAAGGCTCAGCAAGGCTTTGCACTGACCCAGTGCATAAGGAATACATGGTACCTCTGCTCGCAGATCTTGCAGCACTAGTCACATGGCCTCAACTGAACTGTGAAGGAGGCTAGGAAATAACCATGTGATTATTTGGTGAATAGCAAATAACTCCCGTTGCAGTCCTGGGAGGAGGAGGATGTGAACACGTGCAGGGTGCAGGGTGGAGTTACGCTGCCACAGGCTAAGAGACGCCTGGGGTCAACAAGAGCCAGGAGAGAGGTCCTCCCCAGCCCTCAGAAGGAACCAGTCCTGCTGACATCTTGATTTAGGACGTCTAGTTTCTAGAATGGTGAGACAATAAATTTTGATTGTTTTAAACCAACCAGCTCTGGAGTCCTAGGAAATGAATATACTCGAGTCTTCATGAAGTTTCCGCTCTGGAGTCCTAGGAAATGAATATACTCGAGTCTTCATGAAGTTTCCGCAGAAAGAAATTTAGTATACTGAACTGGATGCTTATGAATCTGTTAAAATGACTGGCACAGCAGGCTCTAGGCTCAATCTCCAGAAATTACTCCCAGAACAATTAGGGCACCAAGAGTTACGTCCCTTTCTTTTACTGCAGTCAGGAGCTCACCCTCAGGATCTCTTCGGGTCAGCCACTGTCTGAGGATCAGGAGTGCATCATCAGAACCATGAACTTCAGAACCACATCGCATTCCCCCTGAGCAGCACTAGCAGACTGGATGCCTGTGTAGCTCTTCATCCTCTCACCGTTTAGCTCAGAATCGAAGCCCTGTGTGAATGCATTTGTTTCATGGAATTAAAACTGTATCTGAAACACTTAGTTGCAATGATATTTGAAATGCAGTTTTTAGCTTCTGAAGCAAAGAAAATAAAAAACAAAAATAGCCCACGCCATTTTGAGCAAGTCATTTTGTTTTATTTTTCCTTTTATCTTTTTGGTCACTATTTTATGGTTTCTTGAACATCTTTCTAATTGCCTCCTCTTAAATGTTCCAATTGCCCATTCTGCCCTTGGCTATTTTTTTCTTTACATTCTCTGGACAAGTGCACCGTTTTCC